AATGACTTTATTACAGAAATTGAAACTGCAGATAGCCTCTACATGGAAATTGAAAAATGTAAGTCTCTCTTAGCAAGGTCCCCTGCTATGACCCTCCTGCTTTACAAACACACACACACACACACACACACACACACACGATAACACACAAACACACATATAGAGCACCCCCCCACTTTCTATAAGAATTGGATCCAGAAGTAATAATTGTTATCACCGCTTGCATCTACTCTTTACTTGAAATGTTTTTTTCTGTCTCTTTAGAACACATATGCACATCTAACCAAAGCCCACATTCTCCAACTCGAGGAGTTTCTCAGCGACCAAGACTGGGTTCTTATATTTAACTTGGAAAAAATATTTTAGGAGGAAAAGTGAAACCTAGCTAATAGCCAGAAATGCTTGGAGATCAACTGTGTGGATTTCAAATAAAAGTTTGTTAGTTTCAAATAAACATGACTCAAAGCAGACATGATTCCTAAAAGATAACATTTTAAGAGCATAAAGGAAGAGGGAGATAGTATATAGAAGTCATATTTCCAACTTTAACAAATGAAGATTTTCTTTCTGCTGACAGACATCCAAAGTCAATCACTTTTTGGGGGAAGAAGGAATCAAGTCTAGAAGCTTATACTAATAATTAGATTAGGTCACCTTTATTCTAGTAATAATTATTTGTTGATTTCCTATTACTGACCAGACACTGTTGGGGATACAGTGGAGAGCAAGTCTCCCGCCATTTTGAAGTTTATAGCCTAGTGTCCAAAGAAAATCCCCCACCACCATGTCCCCTTTGTGTCCTGGCTTTAGTCACATGGTCTTACACACCAACCCTTTTACCAGACACTGGCCCTGGGAGGAGGGTCCCTGAGCTGCTGCCACCAAAACCATCATACTCGAGACAAATACTTTCTCTAATCAGTCCCCAAATGTTATTTAGCCAGGGCCCCAGACCCAGAGCTTCAGGTGGGGCAAGAAACGAGACTTATAAGATTTGTGAGAATTATTGGAGATAGGTTTGCTGATGTGATGAGGGAAAATTCTGTCACAAATCAATCAATTAATTGGCATCACATTTTGTTATCACTAAAAATAGGCCTTCCTCTGTAGAGAATATGAAAAAGAAAAATTAAAAAAAATAAAGAACTACTCCAGATCTTATCCCTTGGCAATAATTACTAGTACCATATCTCTAGTACTTTGCAAACCATTATTTTTTCAAAATAAGATTCTACTCTGCATATTTTTTAACCTGCATTTTTTTTTTAGCAATTGTATATTTTGAACATTGTTTTCATGTCTTTCTATGGTTTCTATGACATCTTTTTTGGTGGTTACATTGTATATATTCTGTGGTGTGGACTCAGGACACACGACACACTTGCTTAAGTGATTTCTTGTTATTAAGACATTGAGGTTGTTTTTGTTTATCTTCACTTCCTAGAACAGTTTTGCTTTTAATTTCAAAAGATTCTTGCTTGTGTAGATCTGACCCTGGGATGGCAAAGCTTTGGGTTGAAGGAGTGGCAGGTTGAGGAGACAAGGGGTCTGACTTGGTTCTGCTTTCTTACCTGATTAATCTGGTAAACATTTTTCTGCCTTTATTCCCCCTTTGGCAAGATGGGGATCATAAACCTCATACCTTCCATAACCCTGAAACCCTAAAATGTTCAGAAACATTTAAGGAAAAGTTTGTGTGGAATGATGTGGGACAATGATGTGGAAAGTTATGGGACAATTAAGCTTGTGAAGCTGGCTTCCCTTTACTACTTCATTGATAGAATCTTGACCTTTTTAAACCTTCCCTGTTCTTTCTTTGTGTTCTTTCCTTGCTTCCTCCATCCCAAATTGACAGTCCAAAACACTGTTTACCAGGTCTTTTCCTTTTGAGAGACAGGGTGCTTTTCACTTAGTATTCATGACCATAACCACAACCACAACGGCGGTCTACTCCAGCCCAAAGCTTGGTCTCTTCCAACCCAGCAGATAAAGTATAAGTCAGACCCATAAGGGACCACAAAGATGATCTAGTCCCTTCCCCTTCCCCATGTTATCAAAGGATAGCACTTTAACCAATGTCACTGGGTTAATGGCAGAGCTGGACCCAGGGACTGTGGCAGGTGGTCCTGTGGCCAAATGATTAATTTCTGTGCATTGGTCAATACTGTACCCACTGCTTCTGAGCTGTGTGATCTTGTGCAACTTGTTTAATCTTCCCAAGACTCAGTTTCCTTATCTGTAGAATGGGGATGATCATAATATTTATTTGATAGGGTCTTGTAAATGAGATAACATAAGAAAGGAACTTGTATGTAGTATTCCTGAGGACATGTTAGCTGTTGTGCTAACAAAGGTGGTTTTTCCAGAAGCACTGACTCCCCTGTCTAGGAAACAGCCCTCTCTACCTGATGCTTACATTGGAGACATAACTTTTCATCAGCAGCTGACAGAGAGATTACTCTTCAAGTGGAGATTTTAAGTTTGCATTTGGGAAACCCCTAAATTAATCTGTTTTCTCAGCCTACCTTTTGCCCAGCAGCAATCCAGTAGCATTTGTGTGCAAAGAGTGGAGCATGCTGTCTGTGGTCAGAGAGGGCAATGGAACCAAAGTGCCACAGAAAATGAGCCACATGGTACCACCTCAAGGTGGCCTTAGAGACACATTAGCTCAGAGAAGACCCTTTTCTTTTTGATAGACCACCTTAGCTTGTGTGCAGTCACCCCAATGGATTTCTTTTATTTTACATGCTACACTTAAATTTTTCTTGGAGTTAAAAGCATTTAGGATTTTTAAAAACATGGATTTGATTTCTTAAGGTTTATCATCTTGGTTGTAGATTGAAATAAATTCCAGTGAGAGAGAGAGAGAGAGAGAGAGAGAGAGAGAGAGAGAGAGAGAGAGAGAAATACTTACTTTTGAATCTCGTTGCACTGCTGACCTGTTAGATGGCACTATGCTTTCTTTATGCTCTTTCCTGTTAGGTGGCCGCGCCCAGCGTAAGGGAGCATCTCAGTACCTGCACATCTGGGAGGAGGTGAGGAGGCATGGACCCTGAGGATCAGATCACACACCTTCACAGAACTGGGTAGGAAAACCAAATCTCTTTCTCTTGTGATCCTGCCAAATCATTTTCTTCTCTTAAAGGACTTGAAATTTTTTTTGATAATTTAAGAAAGATTCATTTTGTTTCTCGGAAGAAATGTTTTAAAGTAAAGCCTGGTTTAGCACCTCAGACCCCTCAAGTTGCTTTGCTGAGTGTCACATGGGATTGCATTTGAGGCCAGGGACATACATACAACAGCCTCTGAGCTGGGACAGAGATGCCGCCAAACGCAAATCATCCTTCGGGCCCTGTTTTCCTTTTTCCTCCTTCTCCTTCTTCTCCTCCTCCTCTTCCTATTCCTCTTCCTCCTTCTCTCATGAAATCAACTCATATTAAAATGAAAATGAAAAACTACTAAACCTGCCTGTCAATTACACTAGATTATTAGATGAACTGAGGTAGTGAATTAACTTCTTATTCAATAAACACAATGCTTTGATTTAAAAAAAAAATATTTTTTTTCTATTTTATAATTTGAGGAGCCAGTTCTTAAGAGTTGTTATTTTTTTGTTTATTTTTAAAGATTTATTTATTTATGCATACAAGAACCGGGGTACAGGCCAGAGGTGTGGGGGGTGAGAGGATTCACCAGAGACAGAGTGGGGAGCAGAACAGGCAGACTGACTGAAATACACTGCTGAGGGGAGCAGCAGGCGAGTCAGGAGAGGTCTGCTGTGCCATGTGGGTAGCTCCCTGGCTTGGCTGGAGATTGAACTTGTGTTGCAGAGGCTGCGGATATCTTCACAGTGCTATGCTTAACCCCTTACAGCCAAGAAGGCCCTAGAATTGCTATTTCTTATGGTGACCCTGCAGACATATTTTAAAAACTCTCAGTTTGTAATTTTATTTTTTACCCTCAGTAGCTGTCCAAGTTGTATCCTAAACCCTAATTAGCCCTTGGCATATATTTAGTCCTGGCTAAATTTGCTTGTTGCTTATCCCCAGGAGAAAGCCTGCGGGTGGCCACAAGTTTGTAGGGTGGATGTTTCATTTTGTAGGAAATGCTTGAGATCGTGAATGAAATGGGCAGTGGGAAGCCTTGGTCAGCTTTGCAAAAAAAAAAAAAAAAAAAAGGAGGGAAAAAAGCCCCTTTACCAGTATAAATTGATTTGCAACGGAGAACACAATGGGGCACGCAGGATGAATCATAGCCCTTTTCTTGTGTGAGGACCATTCCACGCCAGCAGGCCCCAGCCGTGTTCACGAGTGTGGAAATGCTTCTGTATTTACACACCTAGATCTGGAGTCCAAGTTAGGGCTGTGTATTCATAAACTGACCGCAGTTGTCACATGCAGCTGCAAAGTTATTGTGTATGACTGTGGTACATTCACCTGTACAGGCACACCCTTCTAGCAAGCACACAGTCTCCCCTGAGATATTTCTTTTTATTTGTCCGAAGTCAAACATTCACTCCTTCAGATCACCAATATCTTGTAAGCCCAGTGCTGGCCCACACTGCTGCAGGACTGGGACAAAGAGATGAGGTTACAGTCTGGTTTCTATGGCAACAGAAGGAGGGGTAATGAAAACCGAAATGTTGGAAACACCCATTCTGACAATTGTGACATAATTCAGGTTATTACAAGGACGTAACTACCAAAAAAGCAAAAGTGTCATTACCTTGCAGCTCATGTCGGCAAAAACTACACTGCACATTTCTCTTAGTTTGGCTGCTAAGAGGAAGGAAACAAGAAGCACACACACATACACACACACACACACACACACACGCACGCGCGTGCCTCGTTTTCTGCATGTAAAATGTGTGTGTTCTTTAAAAGCCAGCGGTTGGCTGGTTTTCCGGACATGATGTGGTTGAAGCTGTCATCGTAATGGAAATTCATTGCTGTAGCTATGGTAAATCGAGTTTTCTGCCTGTGCTGAATGCATTAGTCTAATGAGATGTTTGCAGCCGGAGAGCAGGGCTGCTGGAGACTAACTGTGAGCAACTAACACACGGGTGGAAGACTAGCTTTTGCAATACTCGGTTTGCATGTACTGAAAGTCATCTGTCTTCTGAGTCAACATTCCCGGCCTGGTAAAGAACCTTCAGGGCTCTGGTGAACAAGCTGTAGGTAAGGGAGATGCACAAATGGAGGGTGTGCCATTGGCAAGAGCTCCTTCTCTTTTTACTGTCAGCACGACAGGTTCCCTGGTACTGTCTCTGGGGTGTGCGCCTGCCTCTATGGCCGTGCACAACCCCGGTGCTCTATAGTAAAACCACTGAGGCCGGCAGGTAAACTACAGTTCCTCCTACTTACAATGTAATGTTTGATTTCTTGACCAGATCTCAGAGGGGAAGGTGTAACATAGAATTATATAGTTTAGACATTTTGGGTATATACACACTCACTACTCTTGAACTCTGCAATTGGGTATGTAAAAAGTACTTTTACCCCAAATATAAGTGCAAATAATTAGCTTTTTTTTTTTTTTTGGCATGATGATTTCGCTTTGCTTCGATTTTTTAAAATTACATTGTTGTTTGTCTTGGGGTAAAAATATTTACCTAAAATTTAATGATTAAAAATTGGTTTGGGGTGAGCATGCAAAAGTGGTTTTTTTAACTTGAATTCTATTTTTTTTATATGCTACATGAAATATTTTACATGTCTTTATGCTGGTTTTTCCTGACCAGGATAGACGAGAATGCTATTTACTGTTAGTTTTGGTTTTGGGGAAAAAACATGTTACGAGAGTGTCAGAGCAGTTTTCCCAAGTTCAGGTACAGAGAGTCACCCCTTTCCAGGTGGGGAGTGGTGTGACTTGACCCAGCTTCCACATCTTCCTCCGCTGGCAGAAGGCTTTCGAGGCGCAGGGCAGGACAGTGGGTGAGAGTGAGGTGCGCTCCTGTAAGTCAGACTGGAGCTGCTGGGTCACGTTCTGCATGGGGCCTGTGACTGAAGGAGCTGGGACCCAGGGGCTGTCCCAAGAGTCGGAGACCGTACCCCAGAGCGTTAGACAATCAGTAGCTTTCTGAGAAAGTGGCTTTTTGGTTGGTCTCAGACACTGGTACTTGCAAAAATAATCCAGGCACCTCAAAAACAAGTGGTTTGTAGTAGACGGTATTTTCTGTCCTTTTCAATCAGAGGAATCATTTCTGAAGAGTGGGAGACATATTTGCTTCCCTCCTCCCCCTGTGCTTTGAATTTTTCTTTTTATTATAAATAGGATATTTGGAGTGAAAACATAAAACTAACTACAGAGGAATCTGCAGCACGGTAAATAAAGTACACTGTCCAGGGGCACAGTGTGTGCAAGGAGCATTTTTTGTATTCCTTGGTAGAACTAGCTTTTTAAAAATAAGGGGTTTGTTTGAGCAACAGCAGCTGGGTAAGGATCACCTAGAAAAGCAGGAGGATCGTTTAAACTTGAAATGTTGCTACTGTAGAACCTTCAGTTTTAGGAAAGTTGTTGGGTGATTTCAACCTCCTTACCTTTTAAATGTGCTTGTGAGAGATCTTTTTAAAAATACAAACGTGTTTTCTTTAGCTCTTTAGATTGTGTGTGTGGAGGGGCTCTCATATTTTTGGTAAATTTATTTTGGTGAATGTTTCATTTGTAGAATTATAAGAAAAGAACAAATTCCTCAAAACCCCAGCCTTTTACATTCAACGTGTCTACGTTTCTCCCCCGCCCTGTACCCCCCAAATTGCTTTTGTTTCCTGCGCTCTCTGCCCTCTCCCCCGCCCCCCCAAGTCAACGAACCATAATAGAAAAAGAAGAAAATAAGAGAAACGAGTCGATTGCTTTCGGTCATTTCTTTGCTTTTGGTGGTTTGTTTTCGAGGCAAGTGAAACCAGCAAGCGCAGTTTCACTTTCTGGCTCTGGGTTTCTGGGGGCTGGGGTCCTCGGGCTCTTGCGGTGGCAGGTGAGGGGAGCAGACCAGATGCTGCAAAACCAGCCGCCTCCGTCCTTTCACCCCGCAGCAAGGAAATTTCCTTTGAAAATTCAAAAAAGTAATGCCTTTGAAAATGATATCTTTCTGTTAGAAAAATTCAAGGGATGTTGCAAAGCACCCAAATAGAATTAAAAAGTTTTAAATAAAAATCTTTTAGTGATGTGAAAATTACAGCAGATCATGTTAAACCTCTGGTAAATGTTTTAGTTTTTATTTTATTCTCAACCTTTGATCTCAAGTGCGGCACTTGAGCAGGTTTGGGGAACTGTAACTGAAGTCTCCTTCAATCAAAACAAGGGATGCTCAGAGAGAAATACCTTTTTGCAAATTTGGGGAATTTGCGTCTAAAGCCTTTTGCAGGTCTGTTGTGAGTGGCGGGGCAGGGCAGGGTGGGGGAGGCTGGGTCCAGGCAGAGGTGGGGCACAAGTCCCGAGCTCACTCCTTGGGCTGGTCTCGGCTTCACACTGACACCAGGTGGCCGGGCGCGCTTCCTGCTGGTCCCAGTCCCGACGGCCGCTGGGGCCACACTGTCCACCCGGGGGGCAGGAGCTTCAGCATTCCAAGCACCTCCAGTTTCTTCCTGTGCCCCTTCTCTTCTGCCCACTCCTCTTTCTGCCCCCCAGCCCCCAGGGGTGCGGGAGGGAAGGGAAAGGAGTTGAGGAACGACTGTTGAGCTCTCATTATCAAAAAGTATAAAATTCGGTCTAACATTTTGGAGAGAAGGTTTGTTACAACAGCCCCTTGGGGTGTGAGCCCACGGGCTTCATTTGGGGGCACATTTGACAATTCTAGGAGGGAGCTTTGTTGAAGTGCGTCCCTGGACATTTTACTTTGTAATCTTGCCATTTCCCAAAAGTCTAGTTTGAGATTTACACTTTTTTTTTTTTTTTAGTGTTTTTGTTGCTTCCAAAGGCAGGCAGGTGAGGCGAGAGGAGGGGGATTAAAAACAGCCTCTGGGAGAAAAATCAAATGGTTTGGTACATATATAATGCAACAGGAGCCACCACTGTGTCTAATAAATTACTCTAAATTTTAATTAATGAGTCACAAAAGCCACACCATGAGCTTTTAAAATTACCCTTTTATCAATAAGGTGATAATTAACTTTCTCTGGAATTAGCAATTCTCTCAGCCCCCGGCAGAATGCTGCCTAGTAAGTTCTCTGGAATGCTGCCAATTTTTAACAATTGGTCTTTTGGCAAACCTGGATTTTAATTCAAACATCTATTGTGACATTTTCCAATTTACCGCAAGACCATTGTAATCACCCAAATTATAGTAAAATATCTGAGATTGAAGAGTGGCTCAGGACCTTTGGATTGCATTCGAATCTGTTGCTTTCCCTGCCTTCATTTTCCTTTTCTACCTTCCCCCGCACCCAACCCCTGCATTTGCAAGAGCACCACATTCTAGCCTCTGCTGTAAATCTCTGCTCGAATCTCTGCTGCAAATCACCATGGCGAATGCTGCATGTGTTGGTGCACATGTTGGCTACAAGCCCTGGAGGTTCTAAATGTTTTTCATTGTTGTTGCCTTCATCTCGGTTTCAGTTCTGGCAAAGGGTTCATTCCTTAATATTTTTGCAAACTCTCATCGGAGGTTTATCAGATTCTGAGATTTAGATTGAGACTTGAAGAAGAGGAGCTGCAGGAGGGCCATTTTGGACATGCTTACAGCTGTTTGAAATTTGGCTTATTCTAGCCTACACCTATTAATGTTTGCAGAGGCACAGGGACCATGGGCATTTCAGAGTAACCTGCTCCATGAGGAAACACACACACACACTTACACACACACTCCCCTCTCCTGGGTACTGGTCACACTGAGAGGTAGCATTCAGGGTCTCTCTCACTAAGGACAGTGCTGTTTGACCAGGGCTACTGAAATGCAAGCTGCAAATGGCTGCAAATCCTCCTTCTACAGTCAGACCTTCTTCTCCTCTCTCTGGACTCAAGCACTAGCATTGGGGGCTTCTGCTTCTCACAGCCAGGAGGTTGGGACAGGATACCATTGGGTGAAGCCGGCCCTTCTGAGGAACAGCAAGCAGGGTTTGTGCATTCTGGAATAAATCAGCATTTTTCAACCAGAAGAGGCACTTTGCCACCACTGAAGAGATAAAACACCTCTTGCTTCCTGCAATGACTACTTTGTGGACTACTATTTTAGGACGGAAAGGAATTTACTCCCCAGTGGCAGTTCTCACTTTGTATTAAGTTGAAAAGTCATTCCACTGAGTCTGTGTGACACCTTGAAGTAAAGGAAATATATTCTGGAATCCACATAGCAAGCGTCCCTAAGATGGATGTTATCAGTTGTATTTTACTATGACTCTGGTGACACAAAGTCATATAAACACCTCTTTCCGCCCCCACCAACTCAGACATATTCTACCTACATTTGTGTGGGGCAGATGCATTTCTTTTTCAACAGCTGCATTTATTGATCAGATTCATGGAGCTGGTCCCAGTGTTGCTGATTTTCAAGACTGGTTGGTGCTCCTGCAGCCAGGCTGTGTTAGGGAAGGGGCTGGGCGGAGGTGTGGTGGCCCTATTTTCTCCGTAAGGCATATGACATAGAGGCAGAGGAGTGGAGCTGGCAGTTATGAGAAAATTAATATGCCAGGAAAAAATAGTGTCAACTCTGTGCTTTGAAAGGTGATGATGTTGACCGGTTAGCCTCGCGATGGTGACTCAACTTTTGGGACCTGAATACTCGGTAACAAACGCCTTTGCCCTTTTTCTTTCTCTGGACTGATCATTACAGAGCAAAACTCCTCCTGCCTTCAAAACAGAAACATATGCTTGAAAGTAATCCTGAAGAAATATGCAGCCTTTCATGAAGATGGGCACTGAACTTGGGAACAAATGCTGAGCTAGGCAGAGCACAGAATTACCTTGCCAGTGTCCCCAGTCCAGCCCAGGGAAAATGGCACTGAACAAAAAGGTCCTGGAATAGAAGTCAGAGGAGAGAGACCACTCCACCCTCCTTAAGACCTCACCTTCACATTCCCTCCTTTACCCAGTGCACAAAGGACTTTACCCAGTTCAGAAAGGACTCAGTGATAACAACCAACAGAGGCATGGGGCTATCAGCATATAGACTCCAAGGGTCCTTTTCTTTTGGATCAAAGGAAAGATTTCCCTCGCTTTCACATTTGTCTACAAGTCATCTTGG